ATTTCTTCTTCCAACTCCATTTTCCAAGTAGTTAACACACGAACCGACTAGAATTTGCTAGGACGAAAACAAAACCTCGTCTTTATCTATAACAAAACCCTCAATTTTAAAGGTTATGTTATGTAATTAAACTAGTTTAAGAACTTAATCCTCGCAGGTTGGCGGATTAAAGTTAAACGCGCTTAAGGTCAAAACAGTCGACGGTGCATACCGTTTACGATTTTTAAACCGGTTTAAGGCTTAATCGCGATTAAAGTCTGTCGGTGCATACGGGCATTAAAGGTTAACTCCCGAAAACTCGTAGTACCAAAAAGGGGGTTTTTTAGTTGGTAAGAATCCAACACTACCCAGGGTTCGGAACACTGGGCGTCTTCGCGAAGATTTTTATTCCTCCAGCCGCCGGGCAAACAAAAAAAACAAAAAAAAAAGGCAAGGTTCCTAAATTGTACAATTTAGGAACCTTGCGGTGAGAGTGTTCCAACCCGACGTTCATATTTTAATCTCTGTTTTTCAAGCATTTTTATTTTATATAGGTATTGAAATTTTATATAGGTATTTTCGATTTTTTTCAAGTTTTATATAGGTATTGAAATTTTATTTCGTACTGACTAAAATTTTAACGCAAATTTTCTAAATAATTAATGAATTGTTGTAGTATAATGTTGCGGTGATTTTGAAGATTATTTATGGTTTTATTTTGCAATTGACCAATATCAATTAAATAATCCAATTCATTTATATTTGTGGTGGTTTTGTAGAACCCAAATATTTTTTTAAAAGTTAGTAGTTCCTCCAAGTCCTCTCATGAATAATTTCTGTTATATATCGTCTTAGGAAATCCAAATTCGATTATCTCAAATATATCTAGATCGTCTTCAAATATGTCAAAACAAGTTTTGATATCCATTGTTTTTGTTTTTTGTTTGTTATCGTAATTTTCAATTTTGTTAACTATCGCCACATGAATGAGGAAGGAAAACGAAGGTTAGAATTTACGGCTTAACACCATAAGCCACCAAAGTTGACGGCTTAATTTATAACCGAGCTTTGAATGCTGTAATCCTGGTTTATAATGTGGTGCAAACCCATTTAATTTTAACGCTGAGCTTAATGGCAAAGCCAAGCTTATTTTCAACTGTGCAAACGGGCCTTAATGGTTGTGATCTGTGTTGGGTCTGTCCTTACCCGTTAAGTGTAGTTTATAATTTAACCGCCAGTGGGCGTTAGGACCTTTGAATTCGCGAGTAGCAGCAAAAATTACAAGTAGGCTACTAATCTCTGATAGGAGCGATACAAACACTGAAATAAAAATTACAGTTTTTTTTATAATTAGCTTTTCGTATTCGCGAGGAGTTCAACTACCGATGGGGGCCCTGCAAAGCGTAAACATTACTCGCCATTATTAACTGCGAAAATCACGAATACATGGGTACTTGTATTTCTTCTTCTTCCTGGTTGCCTATAACATAAAACATTACTTACACATTTCCATATGTATATCTGTTTATAGGCCTGAAAAAGCTGAATAGAACTAAACAAAATAAGCCACAATGACATCTATTCAAAATAAGTGTCAAATTTCCCTAGTCAAAGTGTAGCTATATTCTCGCCGCCAGAGGGCCCAGGGACTTAACTAAAATGGTAATCGAAGAACAAGATGCACTCACTTTGACCTTAAAGTATACGAGAGCAGGCTTGCCAGGTCTCCCGTTTTAACAGTAGATCTACCGCTTTTAGGGTGGGTCCTACCGCCCTATCTTTACGTTAAATACTTTCAATATAATTTACGAATTTTCTTAGAAATTTCTGTAAGACGTAAGTCAATAGTCCCGACTCAAACTCCTCCCAATGCTTAAATCTGAACGTGGGTATATTTGAATAAATAAGGGCAAATAATTCGAGGTGGCTATTATTGGTAAATAAATTAAAAAAATAAAACATGTTTTCATCAAATTGATATGTTTTTAAAATATTTTTGTCAGAATTTATTTTTTAGGTAGGTGAAACTTGTGCAACGGAATGATTATATTTCATTTTACATGATCGCTATTCTTAAAGGTTGGAACCCAAGACAAAAAGAACATAAAATAATCGAGTCTTACTTTGTAGATATTTTTCACGTGGTGCCCGTTTAGGTAGACATGCTGCCTTTATGTTCTCATTTGACAAGTTTCGACAAAATAGTAAAACTCCGTTATTTGATTTTAATTGTTTGTAAAGTTATTTAAATAAAATATTTTGTTCAAAAAGCAATTTTTTCCAAAAGCACCATTGAAAACGACTGAAAAATTCGAAAAACAGAAACTTTGGCACATAAAATTATCTACCGTTTTTTTCTATCCATTCTACCGTTTTCGAAGTTCTTGGTCTGGCAACGCTGGCACGCTGCATATAGTTTGAGACTAGAAGACATGTCCTTACATCAGTCTTTATCTATGGACATGTCACATGTCAATATAATTATAAAAACACGACTCTGAACAGGATTTGTTTTCAATCACAGATTACTCACTATACAGTATTCAGTTTTCAATGTAAATGGTGTGGTAAATGGACATAGGTGTTAATAAGAAAATTGTGCGCGTTTATTGAAACAAATAATCATCTAAATGTCGGGGGTTACAAATCGAATTTTGGGAACTTAAATCTGTATTTCCCAGTGCTAGCTAATAAATAATACTCAGAACCCCAGTAAATAATAACATTAATTTTTTACCGTAAAATACTTGTGATATTAATCCAGTGTGCCAGATTCACATGCAAAAAATGTCCAACGGCGTTGGTAGAGGACGAGGATGGTTGAACTTGAAGATTCACAGTCATAACACGAAAAACCCGGGATTGGACAGCAGCATTAGTCCTCCAGCCGTGAATAACAGTGCATCAAGTTTCAACATGCAGGATAATCGAACTTTTTCTGATGCATCCAACGGGTATGATGACTTGATCAGTAAAATCAGACTATTGAACATTAACGATGATGGCATTAAACTCAATCAGAAGATTAAGTACATCATTGAACACTGGAATGAAAACTGTCGAAATGAAATGGATGTCGAGTAAGTACATTGACCTAACTCACCCAGATATTACGTACGCAACATTAAACAAGGTGCTAGAAGTAGAATAATGAGATATCAGTTTTATTCATTAACAATTGTCTGAACTTCCAGTCACCAAAGTTTCACAAAATGTGTTTTTAGATGCACATGGTACGATCAGGTTATGTTAGTCGATTCTTGTAAACAATAAATATTAACTTTACATTGCGATTCAGAGAGTATCAAATTACATGGTGAATTTCTCTGGACCTTTAAAGCTGGTTTTTGCTTATTTCAGCACATCTCGGTTCTTTTTAAACTGGCAATCCTGCTTATGGGAAACTAAATTGTTCTTAAAAGATACGTATTTTGAGCAGATGTATTCAACTTTATCGTATAGTATGGGTATATCGGAAATTGCAAATGATACGAAATTTGTTATAGTAGGTAAAGCAGGAAGAGTTGGGTGTTGGGCCACTTTTAACAAAAATATTATTTCGAATTGTCGGTTTAAAATAACTGAAATTGATGAAGTAAAACCCGTGTCCTATGCATCCGTTTGTACGATGATACGATGGTACGAGTGTTTCTATTGGTTGAAGATCTGTCAATTTGTCCGCCGTCTTACGAATTGACAGATCTCCAACCAATAGAAACACTTTCGTATCATCCTACCATCGTATAAACGGATGCATGGGACACGGGCTTAACCAGAGACAAGCAATCATCCCTTGTCTCTGGGCTTAACTTGAAAAAGTAGTATGCTTTCAGTTTGCCTGAGTATTGCTCTCTTAAACAGGCGGAGATGGTGCCAAATGTAAAATTTATTTCAGTAATTTTTCTTTAACTTTTGAAGCCGATATCGCGACCCTTAACGTGTTTCCACACACGGGGTCAATTAAAAAGGAGCCTCTCAACCTCAGAGCTGTAAGTGTGAGGGAAAGTGCGGTCATGAAAGAGTCGGGAAAGCCAAAAATACCCGCCTCTTCCAAATCCAAGCACGAATCCCGATCCAAATTCCAATCCACAGACAACAACGCCCTTCGCCTTCGCGTTTCAAAGCAAGATGAGCTGTCCAGACCCTAACAAGCCTGATAAAAGGCCGCCAGCTCAGTCTCTTCACCTCGTGCTCCACCAAAACCCCCGAACAATCTCCCCTACAAGCCCCAACTCAGCTCTTAGCGGTAAAAATCACACCCTCAAACCCGCAGGCCCCCTAAATCTTCCCAAAACTTCTAAAGCTGCTCCACACCAGCTGCTCTGCCCCACAAAGCCACGCCTCATCCAGTGCCACTTTGCCCCCCAATTCTACAAAGTACATACTTTAACAAGTTTTCATCTAAATTAAATCATCTAATTAAAAAAAAAATAAGCAAGGTCTGAGAAATCAGGTCTGCGCCATTTTGATGGTTAAATTGTTTTTATTAATTTAAAAAGGTATGTGAAAAAGTGTTATATAGAAAAGCTTTTTTTATTATCTAGATTTCTGCTATTGAAAGCAGAAAACCGTTTTCAACTCCTAAGCTGCATCTCCATTTCCAGTGTTTAAATTATATTTTTTCTTAAAGTTGGAACCATAGCAACATTTCTCGTGCCGTCAACAGCCTATTAGGCAGGTATTAAAAACATAGTTTACGCCCCATACATTTTTTAGCTGACCCCGTATACTAATTCTGAAAATGCATTGCATTCAACAATCATTATAAAGACACTTTTGCATGAAACATTTTTCTGTATCTCTTTTAACTAAGAAAATGTAGGGATCCTTTAAAATTTGTCAATTTTTTGGTTTTCTTCTTGTATCATACATATACAGCGAACATGCATATGTTTTAACGCGAATAATATAGTTCCTAATAAACTGTGAATACTAGAAAACATTCACATGCACATATGAGTGCACACACAAATACAACACATTCATATGCTAAACACAGCTGAGCTCAAAAAAGTTTCTCATACCGCAATAATTATTTGAAAGAAATTACGCCTATTTGAATCACCGTGCATTGTCGTTTTTAACAATATAATTTAACTTACAAAAAATCCAAACCTTCAACCAATATTTTAGAGGTGTGAATAGATTTATTTTCTTCTGAAGAATGTTGTGAAATAGTTTACTGAAATTTATTAACTGAATTGAAATTTTGTATAATAGTCAATAATATTATTTTCAAGCTAAATTTAACTGAAAACATTATTTATTGCAGAAAAAGCTTTGAGGTAATACATGACGCGTGCTTGGAAGATGGCGACTTAGCAACCAAATTGGTTCTGCTCATTGCCTCCAGAACATTTCTTTCACAAGAAATTCATCAGCAGAATATTAGGTTGATGTTTCTTAGAAAACTACAGGAAAATTTTGAAGGTAATTAAAGAATATTAAACTTATTTGTTTTGGTTAAAACATTATCTATGCTAATTTTTAGGAAGTGTAAACCTGAAAAGCGCCCATCCAAACTTATTTAGGAACAGCGTTCAATTAATGGGAGATTTTTTTAATAAAGCCAGATTAGCGAATGGCCGACAGTTTTCATTTATGGCTACCCCTCTTCTTTCATATTTGGATATGTTACTGGAAACGGGAGATCCCCTGGATCTCAAGCTTTTTGTCATCCAGGTAATACAACTACTGATAACTTAGATTGATCGTCAAGTTGACGATTTAATTCAGCATGTTAATTTTAATTATCAACTTAATCCAGTTTTAATTAGTATTAGTGATGGGAAAGTCGGATTATTTTTAAGAATCTGTAGTCGGGTCTCGGTGCACGGTTTGAATGAGTTCTTTATGCAGATTTTCTATTTTTGTTTCGTTTTGCCAACATTCTTTGAAAATTAATTCTTTAGTCCTTTACTGTGTGTCCTTACTTTAATCCTTTACTTTCCAATGTAAAGATTTATTTAAATACAGTTCACACTTGACGTAATTAATGGCATGAAAAGATATGCAATGTAATTTATATTAGCTAAAAACTGGAAAAATATCTAAAACACTTTTTTCTATAGGCCAACAGAAATCTATTTTCCATTCATATTGAAAAATAGAATTATAATTTTAAAAATATGAAATAAATTCAGGATTATTGTCAAGTTTATTCCAAACTATGCAACATAATGGAGATAGCACGGAATGGAGATCCATACTAAAATTCCGCCACAGAACATAATGGAACGCGAACAGAACGAAGGATCATCGAGTCGTCACCTGAGGCTCAGTGATCGCGAGAACGATACTAAATTTTAAAGATTCAAACCCGAGGGTCATTTGTAAGATTTGGCTCACTGAGCCGGGCTAGTTCCGATGCACCCATCACTAATAAATATAAATATTATATTTAACAAAAACTTTCTTACTTCCAGTTTTACTTAAATGGCAATTGTCTCAAACAAGAAAGCCCTGACAAAGTGGCGAGTATCCTGAGTAAAATAAGACTAAAGATTTGCTCCGATAAGATTTGTACAAAAGAAGCGAAATTGTGGCTGCTACTTGCTATTGAAGTGTCAGATAACAGATTCTCCCTTTTACCTGCTGATATTCAAAAGTTTTACCAAGAGCAACTGGGAGACCATGCAATGGCCTGTTTTCAGGTATGATTTATTCTAAAGTAAAATACGGTTTTTTAATATTATATGGAATTTATTATTGAATGTAATGTATAATTAAATGATTTTGCATCTAATTGGTGGTTTTACTGTTACTATTTTAGGGATCGCATGGCGTTTTAACAGTACAAACAGCCGACAATAGCAAAACCCTCGACAATTATCAAAGCAACGTACACGTTCTGCAGGTATCAACAGACTCTCTTACTGATACAGCTTGTATGTTAAACAACTTGTCCGATTCCGGATCGTCCGCGAACTGCAGTAGTGGATTCCAGAGTGACCACAGTAAAATCTCTTCCGGAGTCATTACGGAGAATAGCTCGAATTTGCATAATGGTATGTCAAGATTATTTATTAAGCTTTGAGATGATTTATCATCATCGTAGAGAGGGCAACCCTGAACATAAATCCAGCTCAGTAAACGGTATTAGTCAAACGTTTTTTCACAATTTYAATTCTTTTCWCGCGARTGAAATATTTCATTGCGCTTTCATGCACTATTGAAATGTTCAATAAATTTGWCGATAACGAGTGAAAACGAAATACCAAAACGAATCTATTTTCGGTAACCCTGTTTCAATCAATTGACAGATAATTAGTTTCTTCAAAAACCAAACCTGCAAATATACAGAGTATCTAGATAGCGCTATGACCTATATGTACGGGAACAATTGATATAGCGTTAACGTATTTATAAAATAATCTCAAAGTGAAACTCGGTTTGGCTCTAACATTAAGCATTCTTCGTGAATTTCAAGCGAAGTTGCGTTTGGATTTGGATTTTTAGTAACTTTTTGCTTTTGGGCAACTTTTTGTCTATGCAAATTGCGGCGAGTGGCGACAAATTGAATATGACTTTATCCTACATAAAAATTCAGTTTTCTATGTATGACGAAGGTTGAAGTGGTGTTTGTAAGTGTCTCTTGTAATATTATACGGAGGTCAATTTCAAATCTTCCCACCTTTAATATCTTTCTTTGCAGTTAAAAATATGAAAAATCGGAAAGGCACTTCGTCATTTTTATTTGTAAGCGGGACACTTTAGTGCCCGGTTTCTCAACATTTGCCCTTATTGGTTCCATAACTATGTAGTGGATAAAGTTATAAGACCAATAAGATTTTATGGGTTTCCGAACGGTG